GGGGGGGGGGGGGGGGGGGGGGGGGGGGGGGGGGGGGGGGGGGGGGGGGGGGGGGGGGGGGGGGGGGGGGGGGGGGGGGGGGGGGGGGGGGGGGGGGCGAATTGCCGCTGCTCTCATCACCCGTGGGGGAAGCATATACCACTTCACAGGGAAAGTTCGAGGTATGCAACATGCACGTGCAATATAGTAGTTGCCGCAACAGCCTTGACTCTTTGTCTTAAACAGCGTGTACGTCGAGCGTCGCGCCTCGCCTCTGCTCTGTCAACTACCTTGCACAGCATAAAAAATCGCCGTTTGTTTGTAGCTTTTGGCCCCCGCGACCTCGTTCGTACAGCAACAGCCTCGTCGGATCACCCACACACGACCACCGACAACTGCCACCAGGAGTATCAGTAGCGTGGCCGAAATCGAAAGTGTCAAGCATATCGCGCATCCTACGTAAGCGCGAAGACAAGCAGGACCCCAATGTAGGATCGGCATGCCACGCATGGGCGCGGTGGTACGGTCCGCGACTTGCAGTACTGCAGACACACAGGAAGCCGCCTCGGCCATTTCTTTTGTGCTGTGTCTTGCGAACGCAGGAAGGTGGCGGATGCTTTACAGCACGGTGCCGGGACCTTCCTCCGGGCGACTTGGGCCGTTCGTTGGCGACGTGTTTCAAGATATCCGCCCCGACGAGAAGAGGAGTGAGTTTTTCTGGTATGGCGATGATCTTCTGTGCAGGCAGTCATGTCGTGAGCTTTGATTACGGTGACCTTCCGCGCAAGCGGTCATATGCCGTTCGGCGTTTTTGGCGTGTGCTCGTATGCTGTCCCCAAAACTGTTCCTGGCCTGGATGGGAAAGCGCTAGTCCGTGCGTACACAGAGGGGAGGGAATGCTGCACTTTTCTCGCATTTATATCGAAGACAAAGCACCGCAGGAGGGGTTGGTAGGGTACCTCAGCGAGGGGAATCGTTCTGTATGACCAAGGGTTGGAGCAAACAACGCAAATGCCGTGAGTACTGATTGTTGAAGTGAAGAAAAAAAAAATGCAAAACAACTGAGGAACGCATTCACCAATAACACAACAAACAGCAGTCTACACCCCACTAGACACCGGTCGCCCCGGTGGTCTAGTGGGTGGCCTCGCAGCCTGCTAAGGGCCAGGTCATGGGTTCGAGTCCCGGCAGAGTAAGTTTTTTTCTCACTAAATAAATCCTGGTCTAGGATGAAAGCGACGCGCTGCAAAGCTCGTTTGTTAGTAAACCATGATCGACTTCCTTAGTCGCGAGGGAAGGGATTGCTGTACCCTTCTCGCGATAAAAATACCTCAGGCATGAACCGCAGGAGGGGGTCCAATCCCCCCCTCTTATGTGACCCCGGTTGGGTCGTCTAGCTCGTAGAAGTGGAGGATAGGGGCCAGAGGGGCAGACGACAGAGTCCAATGATGGGAGAAAAATAAACAAAAAAACAAACCCCCACCCAACCAAAATGTACTGAGATTGCCCGATATGCAATCTACGTGCCTTCTTTGTGCGCAGAAGCAGAGGAAGTAGGAGATGACGCAAAAGGTTAGGGCAAGCGCCCGCCCGCCACCCGCTCGACCGTGTTTTAGCAACCGACGCGCCGTTGCTCGGGCGCAGCAACCCCGATGCACGCCTACAGTGCGCATCCGAGAGCACCAGTATGCCGGCGTCCATTGGACAGCATCCCAAACGATCCTTTGACCTTTGTCCCTGCTCTCCCGCCCAAACCCACCTCCGCGGTCCATTACCCCCGTAATCGGCGCCATTTTTTCTCAACGCAGTTATCAACATCTTGGAGCTGGGACCAAGCTGGGCTCTGAGGGTAAGGGAGGAGTGTATCCGGGTTATCCTGGCAAGAGACGAGGGGTATGCATAGCAGTCGCTGTTGTTGTCGGGGCTTGATGGATGGGGAAAGCGTACGTCGACACCGTGTGCCATTGCTGTTTGCCTCTGTTTACACCACAGTACTAGAACTAATAGTGCCGGCACAGCCTCCAGGATCCAGGTGCTTTCCTCGCCCGGTAGAGGCGGCCGTTCTATTTCTTATTTTAGTTGTTTGCCGCCGCCGTCGCCGCTTCCTATAGCCTGCACGGGGTCGGCACGAACCACGTCGTACGGCGATCGTTGTCTTTTGGTCTCTATGGTTCCTCCATCGGATTCCATGTCGGATGGTGGGGCTTCTTGGAAACTTGCGTATCGGGCTGGCCTTGGACCGAAGCTCTGCCCCGATCGTGATCGTTGTCTACAGCCCCGTCTTTGTTGTGACGTATATATACCCGATAGGATTTTTAGTGCTAGTAGGGTAGTAGCTGCTGCTGGTACTGTATAGTTATTGTTTGGTTGTTCCGTCGTTTTATTTCGTGACGCACGTGTATACGACACTGGGGTCTGCTGGCTGGCTGGCCGGTCGGGCGGTGTGGTGCTGTCGTCTGTTTTGGCAGGGTGCGTTGGAGGCCGACGTGGAGGTGCTGGACGGCAACAATTGGGCGATATCCTTCGACGTGGTGAGTTATCCGCTGAATGCTATAAGCCTATCAAGTACACCTCCTCCCTCCCTTCAAAGACTTGAGGTGGTGCCTCCCGCCGTTCTCACTAGCTGGCGTTCGCGGGCGGTCGTTCCTGAGAACAAAAGCGGGGGGGTACTGTACGTGGAGTATCCACGAAGTGTGTCTGTGTGTATGTGTGTTTTCGTCCTATTTATCATGGCGACAGTCCCCCCATTTTTCGTGGTGACACATGTACTACACTCTTCAGTGAATGTAGAGTACTACACTTCTCAGTGCATTGTTTCGTACAACTTTAGCCATCCAGGGTCACACAGGAGGGATGCGAGCCGAAATGACAGTTTTGTTGTTTTGTGGTATGTGTCTTCTTGCAAGCATCGGTTGTGTGTGCAAGGTAAAGTTGAAGTTTTTTGTCTGAAATCTACCACGGGGAAAAGAGGCGAGGTGGGGGGTACTGTAGTACCGTCTTCTCGAGGGTTACGGTTCACGCTACTGCTGTTGCTGTTGCCGCCGCCCGAACAAAATAAAAAATAAATGGATGAAGGTGCAACTTTCGCATCAGCGATGGAGGGCGGTGCCTTCAAGACCTCCAGTGATGCGAAAAAATATCTATTTTCGCTTTGTACGCCTCTCTTTTCTGTTGCCTGGTCGAACAGAACACGGTAGCTGAAGAGGCCGGCCATTTCAACTTCTGCTTCGATACTTCATGGCGATGGGTAGTGCTCCTACTGCCCTTTACTCTTAACGATACCTTCCGTCCTTTCACACATATCACACAATCACACCCTCCCTTGTGGGCGGGTCCTGATTGCCGCAGGTGTACAATAACTTCGCGGGCGTGAAGGTGCAGGAGAAGAAGTTCGACCCGGTGGTGACAGAGCGGCGAATCTGGAGCATGACCTACCTCGATGACGGCTTCCGAATCTTGTACGGCCGACAGGAAGCGAAGTCGGCGGAGGAAGGCTTCATCTTCGTCATGGAGAGAGACAGGCAGTAAATAGTTGAAAGAAGAGAAGGCCGGAGCTTACTTTCGACTCTGGGGGGGTGTTTGATCCCTGCTGGGGGTTGGTTGCTTTAGTTGTTTGCATGCACGGAAAGATTGTTGCCCTTGCGTCGAAACGGCCCAAAACACCACCGGATGGCACACACGGTGCTGGGAAATCATTTCGGCCCGACTGTCACTTTCGTACGAAGCACAGCACTAGAAGCAAGGAGACAAAAACATACTCCACGCAACACACATGGACTCGACAGAGCAGTAGGTGACTCTGCCATACCATCACACGCCTTCCATGATTGTTAGTTTATTCTCCATTCTCATCTCTGACTCGCTCATCTGGACGGGGAGAGAAGCGACGACACAAAAATCCCACCCGCCCCTTGGGGGAACCTTGCGTGTTTGTGTTAGGGCCGTCCCTCGGAAAATGTTAGTTCATTTCGACTCCCCCAAACGCAGAGACAAAACGTAGCTATCATTTTTTCCCGGCTGTTCGCAACCAACCGTGGAGCAGCAGCAGGATACACGACCATGCCCCCTCCCCCCCCCATGAAAACAACTGACTTAGGAACTCTCGTTCTCACGAAAAGTCTGATATTCATCGTCTCTTTGTCGGTGGAATTCCTCTCTGCTGTACAAATCAATTCAATGATTGGCCCCACAAGCAAGCAGAGTGGATTCTCCCTCCCTCCCTCAAAAAGCCTCTCCGAGCAAAGCGCAGACAAAGAAAACAGTGCTAGGCTTACACAAACTCAAAATAAGCCAAGTCTCAGTTGGTTTCAATCCACTTACTGAATAGACTTCGCCACACCCTTTCGAATGAGGTTATACCTCGAACGGGTAGTTGTTCTGTGAGGTTATGTTTACTTTCTAAAGAGAAAACAAACCGTAGTAAACATCTAAACATCCTCGTCGCGGCTACCGCAGCAGGGAAAATCCAAACGCTTGCATCCTGAAAACATGCCTTTCCTAACCCCCCCCTCCCCCCCCCTCAACACTTCCGAAACAAGAGTCGCGGGGGGGTCGCGCCAGGTAACAAACGGTCGCTCATCACAGCAGTAGTAAAAACATCCACGGCGGCAAAAAAACGTGCGCGAAAACAAACACATGCATAGAGAATTGGCTTCGGCGGACGTAATAAATTATCGTAAAAAGCAACGACGTGAAAAAACTTGACGGCATCACCCGCTCCCTCTCCCACTATAGGGCGATGCACATCTTTGGTACAGCAAGTTGCTTGTTGTTGTGAAGATACGTTTGCCCAGCCATCGCAAACAAGAAGGAAGGAAAAAAAAGGAAGCTGGCGTAATTTGAACTCACCCTCGAAAAATCTATCTACCGACCGCCAGATTGGTTATCGGCGTCCAGACAGGAAGCACGGGTGTTCTTTTCGTCCGTAGCGGCTCTGAGGCAACACCCCTCCTCTCTCCCCCGCCTGCTCTCTTGCAATGTAACCGATCCAGAAAATATACTAAACGAGACCAAACGGGGGGCGAGGATGACATATTTTTCTCCCCTCCCCAGTTTTGCCTCGTTGACACTCTTACTATTGCTGCGGTTACCAATGGTCTCCGTAACAAACGTCTTGTGCCTCTATCCCCCCTCCCCCCCTCCAACACTGTTCGCTTCCCATGGCAGGGGGAGAGGATACCCCTCCTTAACTGCCAGGGACAAGTGCTCATGTTCCTCTTTTTCCGCTCCTTCCTGAGGTGGGCATTCGAAACCCTACAACCTGCTGCTGGGCATGCAACATGAGACAACATCAGCCAGCTAGGGGGGGGCGGGGGCTCCGTGCCGGAGTCTATGGACGAGACGGGCTGAGGCAGAGGGGACGTGATGATGCGATGTAGTCACAAATTACACATGCCGTTACTCGCGTCTTCACCCCTTTCTTCCTCCAGACCGTCCCAGTCCGCCTGTGGTAGCAAGGCGACCAGCCATCTGTTACATGCCAAGGTTCAGACCGAGTGGTGAAAAATAATCAATCCAACCGCCGGTAGCCACATACATACCCTCCTTTAATATCTTTCAACATTTCCTACGATTGAGTATGCAACATTTTTCGTACCAAGTGCCAACATGACACCACACGATCTGACCGAATCCCCCATACCGTCCCGCCGTCAAACCGCTCTCTACTCTCGCCGTCGAAAACCATCACCACAACAAAGAGTCAAGTGTGTCTTTGCCCCCTGTCCCCGCCTTCTTTCAAAAAGGCCCTTGCTTTTTCTTGCCCCCAAAACCCACTAATAATCACAACCAATCAGATGCACAAACGAGAATCACTGCCGTTGTGTTTGCTGGGGTATCCCCACGCCCCGCCTCTACTCCCAAATTCCGCTGCGAACTCCCTCCCCCCCAAAACGTAACAAATGCCACAAATTTATCAGAACAACCGCCAAAAAAAAAAGAGCCAAGAGAAAAATACAGAATCGCTGCTGCTGGAAATGCTCCTCAAATGATTGTTGCGAAGCTTGCTGCTCAACGAATGGCAAATAAATCAAGTTTCGCAAACGCACGCAACAGATACATCACGACAAGGCCAGCCTGTCGCAAAAAAAAAAAAAGTCGACCGCACGCCGCAAAAAAAAAGCAGCAGTTTCAGTAGCAGCAGCAGTGGTGGTACAGTCTACGTCAAACAACGTGATAACACGCCGGTAGAGCACCAGCAACATCACTTAAAAGAACCCTATTCCGCACCGCGGACACGCTGGTCGGCGTCTTTCCGTACACCCCCCCCAGACACACTTGGCCCCCCCCGTTGCGCTTGACGGCATTTCACGCTGATAGCGCAACCACAACGACACTGCAGGAAGTGACTTGTCTGCCCTGCCGCTCAGCCCCCCCCAAAAAACTTTGTGCCTCAAGCGTACAGCGGCAAAACATCCGAACCTCATTTCTTGAATTCACAACCTTCCTGCAGCCAACCACGCTCGCTGGCCAAGCCACCGCCCCTAGTGTGTTCGAGCCTCGTCGCCGCTCGATCGACTTAACCGCGCTCACCCACTACCGCACAAAACCACCGTGCGAGACCCCTAACGCACCCTCCAGACAACGCCAACAATCGGCGCACACATCAAACCACCCGACCAACAACAATCCACGCCACTTCCCGTCATGCGTGCTATTTTCCCAAACGGCTTGCAGCAGCGAGTCGTTGGTGACCCCCCCCCCCCCCCCCCCCCCCCCCCCCCCCCCCCCCCCCCCCCCCCCCCCCCCC